AGAAGAAATATGTACAGGATCCATACATTGAGGATCCAAAATTGAAAAGAAAATGTGAAATTATCAGTTTCTATTCTATTTTTTAGAAACATGAACCACTCACTGGTCTCAGGGGAACATAAACTGCCTTTCCTCCAGCCATCACCACCATGGGCTGGTAGCAGTCAAAGAACGGTTCGATAATGATGACCTGAAACGCAAATTACTTTTTTAAGAGAGAGAGAAAAAAAACAACTCTCAGTACTTTATATTTTCACTTGAACGTTGATCACTAGTCTCTTGTTTTTTGACAGCACTACTTATCACTTTATTGATTTCTGTACCTCATCCCCTTCATCAATCAGACCCTGGAAAGCACAGAAGAGGGCCTGATAAGCACCAACAGTCACCAGGATATCTTCGAGAGGGTCGATGTCCTGTCCCACAATCCTACTAAAGAATTTAGCCAAACTTTTAACAAGAGGGGGGTGACCCTGAGGAAAGAATATAATAAAAAGGCCGTTCATTATTTGCTCTGCAACTATTTCAATTTCATCTGTCCTTTTAATCCCTCAGAAAAATGACTGAAATGGGGTCCCCCTTTGGGATGCCTTTGTGCTTACAAAAGCTCGGGTGTACTGGTGCATTTGAGGTCCTCCGCTGATGGCCTTGCAGAAGGCCTCCTGGACAAACTGTGGAGGGGAGAAGTCGGGAAATCCTTGGCCGAGGTTCACTGCTTTGTAATCTGCTGCGAGCTGTGTGAACTCAACCCTGTGGGCGTGAGGTGAGTGAGACAAAGCAATGATGTTACGAGATGTGTCAGTAAGAATGAAACAATCAGAGGGTTTGTTCCATTTCAATTCATCTCAGTTAAAAAGATTGTTGATTTCAAGCTATTTTAGCTTGAGTTACACTCCTGAGAATCTATATTTTAGAGTGGTAGCGCCAGATATTTACCCTAAAATATTTGAAGGACCAAGTTTAATTAGTTTTCTAGACTTGTGAATCCAAAAGTGACTCCTTAAAAATGACAGGGATCTGACATTTTTTTAAATAAGTCCTATTAAAACGTGTATCATACATAAGTATTTAATGCATATTCTTTTTGTGGTAGTTACCATTATATTCTGCAGAAATCTGCTTAGCTTGTGACAGACACATTTGCACTTGACCCATGATGACAGACTTGGGTAAACGTTAAACCTTATGAAAGTGTTCAGTGCTGACCTTTGTAAACAAGACGCAATCAAAATGTGGAAGTGTCTCAGTATTTGAGACGGAGTCCAAGGGTTAAAAATGCAGTGCAGTCCTTCATAAAGTCACACATCTGATCACTCGGGACCCATCTGAGCAAACTGTAATTTACTAGCTCAACCATTAAGCCTAGGGCTGGGGACAACTACATTTATCCAAGGGCCAGAATTTTTCTCAGGAGACACTGTGAGCAGCTCTCATAAAATAAAATTAACATAGTATCACAGGTAATATATTATTTAATTATGCTAATTATCTTTTTCTAAATTTACGTTATTCCTTATCCTTTGTCACTGTTAATACTTGCATTACTTGTACTGGAGAAAGCCACTAAAGAGCAATTGCGATACAGTATTTTAGGTTTCATATTTGTGAAGCTTTCAAGCTAATCATCGCTTACACATGCAATGTACTTGTACATTGTGGAGTCTGGGAATCTGCAATTTGTCTTTGCATCTGAATTTGTTTACCCGCTCTTTAATTGTTTGTCGTTTTAGCTGTGTTTGGTGGTCATAGAAATGGTTTTATAGCTTAGTGACTGTCACGGATTCAAATATTGGGGATGGATACAAGAGGAAAACCAAAATAACAACAATGGTCTGGCCGGGTTGAGTCAAACGATGATTTAACGAATACACGCGTGGGAGATGGACACCGTACGCAGACAGCATCAGATCTCAAAATGGTGGAGCCTTGATCAAACTCTTATAGCTTCTAGTGGCCCCCACCTAATCATAAAAGCCTAAACATTCACATTCTTTCTCACACAGCGCCTAAGCTACGACCTTGGTTCCCTGTTTATCTGCTCCTGCTGAGATGGGGCAGTATGCTCTGTTCTCTTCTAATCAGACAAATAAGGCGATGACTTTCTGCGAACAGTATTTCTTATAACTCACAGTATAATGCATCATAAAACAATATCATTCATTCACAATAAATCAACAGTCTAATGTAATGCAAATCAGTTTAACAAATGTAACAGTTATCACCTTCTTCTAATTCAGGAGAATAATGCAAACTAAAACTACATAATAATTCACAATCTTTAATTAGGGGTCTAACATGGCATAAAATAATATTATAATCCCACATGACATAAAACGTACACATGAAACACTACAAGAAATATTAAATGAGAGATACTACTTATTAGGCTATTCCTGTATTCAGTCATATTCTAGGGGCTGGATGAACAGGTGGGTTTAATGTGGCAATATTTCAATAATTAAAAATATGCAAAACCTTAATTAAATAAAACACCTGACCTTTTCTGCTGTCTATAATGACATATATGGATTCCACTCTTCTTTCTTTCTTTTTTAACCATAAATCGGCCAATGAGCAGGTACCTGAATGCAACTTTGAACGTGCTCAGCAACTGCAGACTCTGCTGTGAAATATTACTTTGCTGTTATGGTTAATATATTACACATATGATACTGTACCTTTGGTTGAGTAATCATCCACCCAAAAAACACGGACATTTCAGTGTATTTACTCACCAGACATTCTTATCCACCCCGTCTGTCCTGCGTGCCTGAAGTCGCCTGGACATTATGACCTGAAACAACAAAACAAGCTTTAAAATACGCGGTCATGCTGGAGACCTCTGTCTTCGGTTTAACAGAGCTGTGCCTACCGTATGATTGTTTCTAACTGAACTCTGCCGAAGTAGGACCAAACTTGCTGCAATGTTCCTGATTATTCCCATTAATAAATGATCACAGCCTCACAGGAGCAGACGACACATTTAATGTTGTCACTGAGTCCCTGCAGAAGGAAAAAATATCTGTAGACGTTTCTGTTCACCTGAAAGTCCAGGGTTGTTGTTGTTTGGGACCAGTGCGAGTTGATAACGAAGGTCCCAGCAACTCCCCTTCAGCCTCCTTGTGTTTTGATATCTACTTCCTGTGTGGGCGTGGCGAGATATTACAATTAGAAACGTCACGGACAACGGACAAACACGGGCCCAAAACTCAAGCTGCGGTTCAGCTCTGTTGACGTATATGTCATCAACTAACCATATGCTAGTTTTTTTAAATATTTTTTTAAATACTGTTTTTAAAAGTAGCCGTGAATTTAGGAGAAATATTCCTGAACGTTTCATTTCCTGCAGTTGCTTTTCCCCCCGAGAGGACTCAGGTAATCCTCCAGCAGCCTCAGGACTGACTTTTATCACTGCCAGTGACAAAGAAGTAGTCCGAAAAAAGGTTAAACCACAGTTATTAATTTTTTTTATAGTAAAAATTAAAAAAATTACATCGATAAAATTAAAAAATATATTTAATGAGTTGGGGCTCATTGGCGTTTGGCCTGAGAGAGAGAGCCAGGCTTACTTGGCTTTATTTGTGCTATGCAAATGTTTTGCTAACCAGCGTCTTTTTGGTCAACAGGCACACACACAAACACACACACAGAGCCTGTTAATTTGAATTATATTCATTATCATGTTCCTAATACCATTTTATTGACCATGAAACAAGGTATTTCTCCTGGGCATTAGGGTCAAGCAATATATGCACAAGGAGAACATTTATTATCATGTGAATATCACAGTGCCATACAGAAACTGAAACAAGATGCAAGTTCTCTTTCCTTCGACTAAACTGTGGCTTTTTTCAAGTCCTCAGGCAGCACGCGGCCCTTCTTCCGTGCCCTGTCCTTCTTCTTCTCTGCCCTGACTTGCTTGCGTTTCCGCAGGTTCTTTTGCCTCTTGTCCTGCCGCTGCTGCATCTTTTCTAGGACGTGCTCGCTCCGCTGCTCCCATTTCTTCTTTTTCTGAGTGCGCCTCTTCTCCTTCTTCTTCAGCGACTCACGCAGCATCTCCTCGTTGTCTTTGATTTTGATGCCCTCTGCCTTGTAGAGCATGTTGGTCCACATGATCTTCTTTTCCATCTCGCGGGCCTTCTCCTCGTCTTTCTCTCTCAGCTGTTCCAGCTTGGCTTTGCGAGCCTCCACGCGGCTGAGCAGCTGCTTGTAGTTCTTCCCCGTCAGAGGAGTTATCTGGCCTTTTATCCCCTGTTTCTTGTTCTTCTTTTTTTGTTTCTTGTCTATATAACCCTCGTCCACCGTCTCAACCTTGTTGAAGACCAGAGCAGTCTCATTTCTTTTGCTCGAGGCAGGGACGTGCTTCTCTTCCTGTTTTACCTCTAACGGCTGTTCTTTCCCACTTTTTTCAGCGAGTTTCTTCATCAGAAATTCTTTTCTTTTCCTCTTCTTGCGCTCCCGCTCCAGCTTTCGCTTTGCTCGCTTTGCCTGGACAACTTCTGATAATGTATCCTTTGGAGTTCCCTGATAAAAGACAGGTTAACATGGTTAGGCTTCAACAATAATTCTAGGGCACCCAGCGGTGACATCACTTCCTGTTTTAGAAGATCCTCAGTACCCCTCCCCCCCTACAGTCTCTCTCTTTCATACTGTGCCATCTCTGAAAACTGCATACCTGTCCTCTGGACTCTTCAATCTTTTCATGGAGCCTTTTGCGTAATACATCGACTGTAGTGAAGCTGGAGTCTACACTTCCTCCTTAAAGAAAAAGAAAATAAGCATTAAATGAGACCCAGTTATGTAAAGAGAAAAACCTCCACACAGGGCCAGCGTAGGCTTGGTATACCTTGATGCTTCTGGTGTGCAGCTCCATTCGCGGCCTCAGTTTTGGACCCGTTTGGTTTCACGGCAGCTTTGATTTTCTGTGCTGCTGGAGACGGTGAAGGCATCTGTTGGGGTTTGGGAGTCTTGCCGTCTGTGGCCTCATCTTTCTTTTTGCATTTTTTCTTCTTCTTTGGAGGACCAGTGTCACTTTTAGCTTTGAAATGAACTGTACACACACAAACACAATGCACATATTGACAATTGCATGTATATAATGTGTCACTGCAGTTCTACAATATTGCTATTACAGTTACTAGCCTAGGACCTGCAACATGTTCAGATAACATCAGATAACTGGAGAAAAGAGGATTTGAAATTTTCTGTTGGCAAACTCATGATCAACTTGTTTCCTCATTTTCCATGAGAAAAAAAAAACCCAGTCACAGCTGATTTGGTGGGTGACTCTTCTCTTATAAAAGCAATCCTATTAGCAGTAAAAC